CCAAGGGCTGATCCCAGAGCCCTCACACTCACTTCCATGCCCTGGTCCCACTACGTTGCCCAGGCTTGAACCTATGATCTCTCTGCCTCAGCCCCTCAGAGTGGTGTGACTGCCACTGGGCCCGGCAGCCACCTCTTCCTAAGCTGTGTTTCCCTACTAGATGAAAGTAGGAAGCATGGGGACATCGAGGTGTGTTTAGGATACTTCATATTGAGAAAAATATATAGAGGAAAGATATTTTCTCTTTTGAGAAAATGCACAGAGTGGTGATTTTCTCACAGTAAAAGCCTCTCCCAACAGACGAGCATTGCTACCTGGGCCACTGTCATTTTGCTGAAGCCTGTGACAGAGCTGGGCGTGGCAGTATTCCCACATCACGCCAACACTCAGAAGGCTGGTGTGGGAGGGTCACAGAGCTGCGGGCCAGCCTAGGCTACGCAGCGAATTCAAGGCCAGCCTGAAGTGTGCAGCAGCCCCTGTCTCAAAAAGCAAGCAAACAAACAAAAATATGTGCAAAAAGTATGGACGTAAGGGAGATAAATATAGCCCAGTAAATTCTCCTAATGATGTGCCTTTGAACTTGACTTTGTTAGCAGAAACAGAACCCCTAAAACCAAACACAAAACTCCCAAACACAAAACTGAACCTGAAAGGTAATAAAGATAATTGGATAATAATTGTAATTGGGTAATAATTGTTACCCTATTATCTCTGTTACCTTTCTGTATTCAGAAATGAATTGCTGTAAACTACGTGAATGTCAAGAATCGCTCCAGGCACAAATAGACGAGAGATGGCGGAATCTCTACAGAATCCGTCAATACTTGCTAAATGCCAATGGTTTCTAAAGCCATGGCAAGGAAACAAAAGATTTAATCCACAGGGCATACGCAGTGCTCATTTAGACAATTTCTTTCCTTTCTTTTTTCTTTTCTCTTTCTTTCTTTCTTTCTTTCTTTCTTTCTTTCTTTCTTTCTTAATTTCTTTCTTCTTTCTCTAATCCATCCATCCATCCTTCCTTCCTTTGTTTGGCATAGGGTCTTGCTACGCAATTTGGACTCATAGTGATCTTCCTTGTCTCAGCCTCCCGAGCACTGGGACTACAGGCATGCACCCCCACACCCGGACTTGGTGGCTGGCTCGATGTTGGGCTGGCATAGCATGCGACACCAGGGATCAAACCCGGGGCCTTGTCTCAAAAAGTAAATAAACAAACAAAAATACAAATAAACAAAAATGGCCTCTGCTTCCTGGGCAGTTCTGGGCCAGCACAAACGGGCTGTTTTTTCTCCTGATTCTGGATGCAGTGCAGGAGAGAATGGGAAGGCCAAGGGTCTCTACTAAAACATGGAGTCTGTCAACGCAAATACTTAGGTTGCCACTTTCGAGCAACAAGTGGCTGGCTGAGTCTTCTGCCCACTGACAGGCCCAGTGTCTTTTTATTTTAGACAGAAACTCTCAGTCAAAATCACTAAAGCTGTGAGCAGTGCTGCATGCCTGTAATCCCTGCACTTTGGAAGGTGGACGTGGGAAAGATCGCGAGGTTGTCTCACCTGGCCCACTTAGCCCCTGCCTCAAAACACAGTTTTCAAAGGGGATAGGGTCATTGCTCAGCATAAAGGCTCTTGGCCCGATCCCCAGGCCTCACCCACACCACATACTCCGATGCTAGCTCACCTAACACACACACAGAAGCAGAGCAGAAGGTATCCCCGCTAAGCCCATCATCATAGTCATGGTGCTGTAAAGAACACTATGGCGGCGGCTATAGCCTATGGTAGGCAGCCCCCTCTGTGGTGACAGGAAACTTCTGGCTAGGAAAGTGGAGAAAATTTCTAGAGGTTTATGATTTTTTTTAATGTATTTGGTACAGGGTCTCACTATACAGCTCAGACTTGTAGTGATCTTCCTGTTTTCAGCCTCCTCAGTGCTGGGATTACAGGTATGTGCCACCACTCCCAGTCTTGGTAGATGGCTCAGCATGCTGGAGGGTGGAGCCGGTATGGATTGTGGAGCCAGGGATTGAAGCCCAGTCCCTGTGCTTACCTACGCCGGCACTTAGTCCACTGAGTGATCTCGCTGGCCCCTCTAGCACTTTAAACACGCTCACTTTACAGTGAAACATTGTAGCAGCCAGGTGTTGTGATGCACACCTACAACCCTAGCTCCGCAGGAGCCTAAGGCAGGATGATCACAAGGTGGTGCCCAGCCTTGACTTTGTGTCAAAAGAAAACATACAAAAGGGCTGGCTGGGGCTGTAGCACAGCTGAAGCGCTTGCCTAGCATGCGTGAGGTCCTAGGTTTAAACTTTAGTGATTCAATACAAAAACAAAAACAATTACAGCATTCACAGTGGCAAAGGAACTGAAGTTCAAAATACATGGTTTAGTAATTGAAAACAATATTAAAGCTGAGTTTAAAGACAACAATCTGACTCTGATAGTTTGCTTCATGTTTTAAAAAGCATAATAATAGTAAGCCTAAAAACAAACATTCGCTCGCTCTGGCTGTATCTTACCAGCGCTATTTCACTTACTTGTTGCTTGATTCTGGGGTTCCATCTAATGTAGTAATTCACCCAGAGTTCCAAGTGACGCATACTGGCAACTGGATATAAAACTCGATTGATTTCTTTTGTATAGAAGGGGTTTTTGAATTTCTCTTTATTGTTGTTGATCATTGACCATAAAGAAACTGTTCTTTCTGGCACTTTCTAGAGAGAAAAAGAAAGTGGAAAGCTTAAGCAAACCTGGCAATGCACAGACCTTTCTGCAGCCGCTGGCAGTACAGTTCAGAAGCATCCGGATCGCACACTTCCACGGTCCCCAGAAGAGCTCCCAGCGAGCGCTCCCAGCCATTTACTGGTATTTGCATAGCTAATGGCGTAGCTCAAGAGCCACTGTTTCTGCCAGAAGACGGGCACAGGATCCTACATCATTAAAAGTAACTCACTGACCTAAGGAAAATATTCCCAGCTTAGGCAAAACACTTAGGAACAGATGGGTGGCCTGCTCTTTAATTCAGCGAAAAGAAAAATTATCATAAGGTCCCACTGACTTTTAAAAATTTCTCTATTTCTTATAGAAAGACAAAATTTTAGCCTGTGTCTCCTTGACAGCAGGCATTTGGACATAAAGTTATTTTAATCAACCATCCAGATGCTTAATCTACATCATATCAACATGGAGATATTTGCAAACATCTGGATAACTGCACAGTCTTCACTTTTTAGCTTGGTGTCCATTAATGCATAAAAATGTTCCCATTTTCACTGCTTTTGAATTAGAGCTCTTTACCAAATTTTGAGCATAAATGAGAAAAAAATGAAGCTGGGAAAAACATTCAAGATTTAAAATTATCAATGGTGAAATTTGAAACTCTCCCTAGTAATAACTTCATTGAGGTAATAGTATTAAAAACTGTAAGTTAGGGCTGGAGAGATGGCTCAGTGGTCTAAGGCACCTACTTAGAACAAGCTTAGCAAGGCATCAGGGACCACGGTTCTATCCCCCAGCACCACATGCCAGCCCCGCCCCCTGGTGGGCTGAGCTGGCCACACACACACACCACACGCACTCTCTCTCTCTCTCAAATAAATAAAAATTATTAAAAAAAACTGTAAGTTAAAAAGAACACTCAAAATGAGCAAACAAAAATCTAACAGCTTCATTAATATGACAGTATTGACAGCCCAAAACTTCACTGGTTCCTTTGACATATAAAAATCTGGATCGCGTGTGTTTATTTTTATGTGCACACATAGTTCTAAGCAGTCAATATTTTAAACAATTTTGTGGAAAGAAAATAATCTTTCACCTCTCCCCAGAAGCCACCGCATTTGACTTTTTCCAGCTTTCCTTAACTATGACTGACATGTAAACAATCCCGTCTAAGCTACACAACATGACTCATTCATGGCGTATGGACTGAGTGACTGATTGCTTGGAGATAGGGTCTGGCTATGATGCTCTGGCCGGCCCTGAATCCCTGGATGCAAGTAACCCTCTTGCGTCAGCCTCGAGAGTAGTTGGGCCTACAGGTGTGCACAGCCAACATGAGATTTTGATATATGCAAACAGGTTAATTAACATACAGGTCCCCTCACACAGTTACTGGTTTTCTGGTGGTGAAAACACTTGCTATCCGCTCCCTCACCAAATCTGATGTATAAAGCACAGTCACTACCTCCTCTTTTTCCTCACCTGCGTAGCCCCTGATAACTATCTGTCTACGCTCTGCTGCCACAGGTGCAACTTTCATTTGCATTCTGCACCTAAGGCAAACAAACGTTGTCTTTTGGGGTCCGGCTTATTTCATATAGCGGAATGATCTCTAGTTCCATCCACATTGCTACACAGGAAAGGTTTTGTTCCTTTGGCTGGCCGAGCAGTACCCCGTGGTGCAGGTGCCCCGCATTTGCTCCACCCATTCACCATTTCTCGGCAACTGTTAATAGAGCGGCAAGGACCACACTTGTCTCTTGGACATAATGATTGTATTTCCTATGGACACAAACCCAGGAGTGGGCCTGCTGGATCACGTGACACTTCTAGGTTAGACTTTTAGAATGTTTAATTGGCATGCAAAAATGTTGTCCCTATTCATACAGTTCCATGTTGTATTTTAATATATATACACACTAGAAAGGTTAAATCGGGTTAAATGGGTCTATCTCTTCAAATATGTATCATTTCTTTATGGTCAAAACTTTCAAAATTCTCCCAGCTTTCAGAAACACAATACATTATCTTTAATTTTCATTTTTTTTTAATTTTTTAAAGCAGAAGCACAATACATTCTCTTCTGTGTGTAGTCACTGTGCTGTGTGACAGCACACCAGAGCTTCTTGTCCAATCTGTGACTGTGGCATAGTACCCCCGACCAACCTTCCTCCATCTCCCTTCCCTGCTCTCCTAACCTCAGGAACAGCACTCCACTCTCAGCTGCCGTGAAATCCACTGTTTAGATTCCACACAGGCGTCTTCCGGCAACTGCTTTATTTCACTCAACACAATCGACTCCATTTTCATCCATTTGTAGCAAACAGGGATTTAATTTTTTATAGCTGAATACTACGCAGATTGTTTCCATTTCTTGGCTACCTTGCCTAGTGTTATGAGGAAAATGAGAACGCACACGCCTCTTCCCCGGACAGTCTTCATTTCCTGCAGGCATTCACCCAGGAGTGGGATCGCTGGGTCACATGGCGGCTTTCTTTTCAGTGTGCTGAGGAAGCGCCACACTGTCTTGCATAGTGGCTATTATCAATTTGTGCTTTTAAGTGGTTTATTGGGTACTTCTCTCCACCTCTCGGAATAACATGCTTTCATTGTTACCCCCATTACGAGCATTACCTACTGACGCTGGCACAATGAGAAAGTGTGTGCTTCCCACTTCTGCCACACGTACACGCTTTCTCTATTTTTTCTGTGACATTATTGCCAATACACAGCATAGCTTTGATTAGATCTGCTTTTAGCAGGCAGATTCCAATGACTAAGCAAGCACTATTTACAGCTGGGGCGTGCAGGCCCTGTGCAGAGATGACTGTCCTTTTCCCGCACATATCTCTCATTTCCACTTGATATCCCAACTGTCTCTTGTTTATTTTTCGTGGCACTTACTGACTCAACCTCAAACTCTCCCTCCCATATGTCCTTCTCCCTCAAGATGGTCGGGCACATGGGGTGCTCTGCGTTTCCTCTTCAGAGGGGCTCTAAGCTGGCCCAATTGCCCCAACCCTTGTGGCCCGTTAGCATCAAGGGTCTCTTTTCTGTGCCACTCCACAGGTGCCCTCCACCTTGCTCTAGGCCAGTGATGGCAAGCCTTTCGGAGCTTTCAGTGGTACAAATGGCCTGCAGTGGCACACGTGCTATAGATTCACCGCCACTGCTCTAGGCAGGCTTCCTGTGTTCATGGAGTGCATACTCCAGTCGCCTCCAGAGAGAGCAAGGAGCAGGACGTATTCCTGACAGCACTCTTTTTAAAGAATGTCTCTGTTCTCGCTTCACTTTTCGCTGATAATTTGGTGACTGTACATATTAACCACTTGCCTGTCACTGGGCCACAATATCCAACAGCCACAATTTAAAGGAGAGGTTTCACGCTGCTCAGTTTCCAGGGGGCTCAGCTCATGCTCGGCTGGCTCCCTGGCTCTCAGGGCATGGAGGAAGGGCACGGAGGACAGCTGCTCACCCCACGGCTGCCAGGAAGCAGAGGGAGAAGGGAGGAGCCAGCGACGAGAGTACGTCTTTGCAGGACACGCTTCTTCCAACCCGGCCCCACCTCCACACACACGAGGTTTTTGGGGGAATTTTAGATCTCAACCACTACAAAAAGCTAGGTAGAAGACACTTTCATTTAAAATTCTGAATGCAGGGCCAGGCAAATAGCTCAGTGGATTAGGTTCGATTTTCGGACATGCTGTGCCAGCCCTGCCTCTGGGGCGCACTGATACGGCCATTGAGACTAAGTGTGGTGATGTGCACCTGTAGTCCCAGTGCTTGGGAGGCTGGAAACAGGAGAATCACTATGAGTTTGATCTAGCAGTGAGACCCTGAACACCCTGTAGACCCTTCCCTAAAATAAAGAAAAAATAAAATAAAATAAAATTTTGAATGCAATGTTTTACTGACTACTAACTTCCAATATTGCTAGGAAGAAAGTCTAATTTCTGTTTCTTTGCATATACAGGTTGAATATCTCTTACTGTGTTCTTGGGACCAGAAGTGTTCTGGATTTAGTTGTTTTCAGATTTGGGGATATTTGTATCTACATAATGAGATTTCCTGGGGATGGAATGCAAGTCTAAACATGAAATTCAGGGACGATTTCCATATACTTTACACACATAGCCTAGAGGTAACATTATACAGCATTTCAGCGTGCCTGCGTCTTGCCTGTGACCCGTCACATGAAGTCAGGTGTGGAACTTTCTACTGTCATGTCCATGCTCAACAGTTTTGGATTCCAGAGCACTGTGAATTTTTGGATTAGGGATGCTTAACCTATAATCCATTCCTTTTGAATTATGGGGTCTTTTCTTTGGCCCTGGTGATTTGTTGCCCTCTGGCTTATTTCCTCTTTGTGTGACTCCTGTTATTTGGATATTGGACCTCAAAGACTCGCTACACAGTTTGCACTCTTAGTGATCCTCCTGTTTCAGCCTGCCCAGTGCTGGGATTACAGATGTGTGCCACGACTTAGGCCTTGGTGGCCAGCTTGCTGTGCCCTGGGGTGGGCCAGCGTGGCATATGGTACCAGGGATTGAACCTGGGTCCCTGTGCTTGCCATGCAGCTGCTTAGACCGCTGAGCTAGCTTGCTGGCCCCTAAGTTTCTTCTTGTCATTTTCTCTGTTTATATGCAGTGCTTTCTGGGAGATATTTCCAACCTGATCTTGCAACTCTTCTGAGATTTTTAGTTTCAAACTTCATTTTTGATCTGTAAATGTTCTTTCTAAGTCATATCTCATTTGTGGTACCAATGTTTTTCTTATCTTTCTTGGGCTACTGAATGGAGGTTTCTTATCTGTGTCCCTTCCCCTACGTGGAAACCTTTCCTCTCAGCTCCTTTTTCTCCTTCTTGGATGTCTGCTATTATTTAAGAGCAGAGAAGTGAAAAGATTCCTGGGGAGCTCTGACATGCTAAATGTTATTATGTGTGGGCTTCCCTGTGGGGAATACCTACTTTCTTGTTGAGACCTTTAGGTCCTTCTTCTTATAAAACTCAGTTTCTCCAGAAGTAATTTTAAAAATTGAAGTAAAACTCATGTATGCTAAGAGTTATCATTTGCACACTGTACAATCCAGCAGCTTCTAATCTCTTCACAATACTGTGCAGTTACCCACTTCTATCAGGTTCCGACATTCTTTTACATCAGAAATTCCACAGGCCCTAACGAGATGCTCCCTGCTCTCCTCTAGCCCCTGGAGACCGATCTCCCCTCAGTGCCCGCAGAGCAGCCAGTTCTGGATACCTGGCACAGATGGAACTGTACAGTAGGGGGGCTTCTGGACCTAGTTGCTTTCACTGGGAATAAAGATTTCAAGGTTCATTCATACTGTACTATGTACCAGTAATTGTTTTGGCTGAATACTACTCCATCACATGGATATGGACAGAGCCATTTGGTTCATCATCCATCCCCCTGAGAGATATCTGGATTATTCCCATCCTTTGTCTACTGTGAACACATACACATGCAAGCTTTTGTTTCAACCAGTTTTCAGTACATGCCTGGGAGTGAAATTTCTGGGATAACTCTATATTTTGCTGCACCACTGGCCACCCCTTCTGGCCATTTCTGAGGCCCCCTTCCTCGCCGACAGGGATGCTTCTTTTACATCCCTACATGGACAGCAAGGACTTGGGTCTGGAATGCCAGGGATGGTGGACGGTCTAGGGCTACCAGAGCGTGGCATATCTCCAGCCAGCCTCTCTCCAGAAGGGGCCTCTACCTGAATCCTTAGCTGTGAGAGGGAAGGAGGAGACCCACACAGCTCCTCCTGAACAGGCCTTCCTTCGGTCATCCTCCCCTTCAGCCCCAGATCCCTCCCTGGCAGATGGCATCCGTGTGTCCCCCACAGGGCCTGTAGCACAAAGTAGGCTGCTCCTCAGCTTCAACACTCACCGCTGTTTGAGATTTGCTTTTCCCAAGCTCAGTTCTTTCCTGCTCATCTCCTGACTTTCCAGTTTCTAAATGTTTGGCATTACCTCCTCTCACCTTTTCTCTATTCTTACAGGTTTATGCTCTTTAGACAATTCCTTTTATTGACACTTTTACGGAGTTTTGGGAGAGAGATGCTGCATACTTTCAAAGTTGTCCTGCTCCTTGAGGGTAAAGCTGGTGTCTTCCGGGCAACCATACTCCTATCGCATGGCAGATTAGATACATTTTGCCAATGCTTTACAAAAGCCATTAGCATTTTTACTCACTTGTCTTTCCCGAGCAGATTCACAGTTGAATAAGAAAGTACCAAATCGGCAACTATACAGATGATCCAAAATTGTAATCAAAAAGCGTTCATTGAATTCAAAAGCTGTAGGGAACTAAAAAACAAATAAGGAAGCAAGCATGAAAGAGTGAGACTAATCCTTCTAAAGGGGTAACAAAACACGGTTGCACTGTGTGCCCTGGGAAGGACAGCGAAGGCAGCAGCCTACATGCACCCTCGAGCTCAGTTTTTGCAATTATAGGACTGAGAAGTTTAGATAAGGGTCAAGTAAATGAATAAAGATGAAAAGGTGGGCAAAGTTCAATTTTATGGGCTTGGCTGGGTATACAGGGTTGGTTAATTGTGTAGGGTGTTATGAGTTTGTAGCCATGGCAGTTTACAATGCATACAAAACACAACTTGGAATTTTCAGTTCCATTGATCTTCCACTAGTACAAGTGATGCAGTTAGAAATTTAATTCTTGGGCTGGGGAGATAGCTCAGTAGAATAATGCCTGCCTGGCAAGTGCAGGGTCCTGAGTTCAACCCCCAACCCCCAGTACCACAAAAAAAAAAATTAATTCTTAAAACTTTATTATGGAGAATTCCAGATACAGCAATAGTAGCAGCAATAAAAATTGAACCCCTATAACAACTGTGTTAAATCTTATTAATTTTTTGAAGAAATTGATATAAATAAGTAACTTGAAACACAACACATTCTTAAGCTTCATGTCTTTGAATATTATTCAAGTGGAATAATAAATATAATGAAAGAGAAGTTCAACATTTTTTCCTCTGCCTTGGGGGACTTTTAGGTTGATCTTTTTGCTAAAATAAATGCTGTTTTGTGAACTTTAAAAAAAAACCCCTGAATCCCTATGTTCCCACCCTTCAAATACGGTCACTCTTCTTGTCTCTTAAGCTCTGCTCTGCATCATTCAAGGGGCAAATCCCAAGTGTTAAAACAGAGTACTTAAGCTAACCACTGAGGCAAGTGTCATTTCCCTGCAATGTATTCCTTACCTGTTTTGACATCTGCCATACACAGTCAATAAACTGGAGAAAAATGGGAGATCGGTCAGCGTCGGCGTGGTTTTTATCACCATGACCTATTCTCTAAAATGAAGTGGTGGAGATGACTTGTATTAATTAATGGGCATAAAACTGAGAAAGCATATAATTGATAAAATGTAATAGTACAACTTCTTGGAGAATAGTATATGTTTCCACGGAAATATAATACTGTATTACAGAATAATAGCAGGTTTTATCATCATAGAAATTAAGCATATAAATTTCTATAAAATACCACTAAAATTGGCAAAGCATCCATCCTCTGTGGCTGATACAGTGATTGCATAGATTAGAATTCTGTAAAGTCCTGCACAGTTGCACATAGAATGGCATAGATGGCCCTGCACAATGTATTCCAATACATCTAAAGAAGTCTTTACAGTCATGACTAGACAACCCCCAAGGTTCAAGTTGAAATCATGTCAGATATCATTACTAGAATTAAAATGTATTTTTCTCATAAAATCAAGACAAACCTCCAAATCTCACAATACATTCATCTAGTAAGCTGCGATTCTTCCTGCTTGAGAATGCTTTCACGCTACTTATGGAATGTAGACGAAGGCTGAGAGAGGACAGAGCAGTGTTTCTGAACGTGATTTATGGATCCCCTCTAGAGAAACTACTGGGGAACTGGCTAAAAATATTAATTCAAGGGGCACCTGGAAAAAGGACCCGATAAGGGGAATTTTAACAGGTTGTGTTGAAAATGTAAAAATTGTGTATCTGAGAATAATAATATAAAACCTCAAACAAAAGTCTGACATTTGTATAAAATACATTTGGACTAATAGCTAAATTACTAGTTCAGAGAAAATTGTCATCCCATCTTCTCTCTTTTCTGCAATTTCAGTGTAAGCATTTCCTGGCAGAGGCTCTTACTGTCAAGTGAAACATAGATAAATGCATCTCCCAAGATCTTCAGCAACCCAAGGCAGCACACCTGTAAAGTGCTTTTCACTTCCTCGCTGCAGATTTTCACCTTAGTACTATGTGGTGCAACAACTAGTTTGCTAAATCTCAAATACAAGTGATCTGATTTTTTTAAGAACAGCTTTATTCTTTACTTACAGATGCAAATTTATGTCCGAAACTTATCCATTCTTTTTGTACCAGGATTTCGAACCCTTCGATGCTCCTGTAGAAGCTGTCCAGCATCAGCATGGCCAGGGAAGTCAGTTGAGCGGTCCTGTCCCAGCCGTCACTGCAATGCACGAGCACTGAGCTCTTACCTGAAGAAACTTTGTCTGCAACTTGAATAGCTCCTGTCAGCACCAGCTGCCGGAGAAGAAGGTGCAAGTTAGGAGGCGTGCTCAGGTCCTGCTTGCGGCTGAACATGTACTTCTGAACCCTAGCAAAGGCCTGCTTTAAAATATCAAGCAGTGACTAGAACAGACAGGGACAAAAGAATGAAACACCAGAGGCTGTGTGGGGTGTTCATCTTCCTCTGTCCACGCACAACATGTTCGGATGTGCTCAGGGGTTAAAAACAAGGCCAAACTGTGTTTTCATGGATGTGATTGTAACTGACTGCTCTGTCCGCTGTAATGAATACAGCCAGGTGATTTGAACAATAGAAACCCTGGAAGCAGAAGTCCACAATGGAGATACTGGCAGAACTAGGCTCCCGCAGGACCCTTCTACAGCCCCTCTCTCAGCAGCTGTGTTTCACAACAGTATAACTTCTGTCTTCAAACGGCATGACACCTGTGGGCCTGTCAGTGACCAAATGTTCTCTTTCTAGCCTCTTTAACAAATAGTGTTGGAAAAACTGGCTCTCTACATGCTGAAAACTAAAACTTGACCCAGCTCTATCACCATGCCCTAAGCTAAAGTCAAAATGGATTAAAGATCTAAACATTAAAGCAGAGACTCTAAATCTCCTGGAAGAGAAAGTAGGAGGAACTCTTGAAGACACAGGGGTAGGCAAAGAGTTCAAGAACAAAAACGAAATCACATGGGTAATACTTGAAGGAATTAATAACTGGGACCTGCTCTTATTTATAAGTTTTTACATGTCAAAAAAAATTACCAACAAAGTGAAAAGACAACCCTCAAATTTGGAAAAAATCTTAACAAATAAGCACTCAGACAAAGGTCTGCTCTCTAGAATTTATAGAGAACTAAAAAACATTAGGGCCCCAAAATTTAAAGACCCAATCCAGAAATGGACATCCGAGATGAACACACACTTCTCAGAGGACAAAATTATAGAAGCGAATAAATATATGAACAACTGCTCCACATCACTTGCCATCCATGAAATGCAAATTAAAACAACACTGAGATACCATCTCACCCCAGAAAGAA